GAGGAGGCGAGCGCCGTGTAAACAATGACATTTCTAACCACACCCTGCAAAATACAGTGTACTTAGCAAATGCTGCAGCTTCTGAGAATGTGGGTGGAGCGGGTTTATTACTAAGAGCAGAGACGTTACCGAGAACAAATTCTGGCTTGAATGTCATGTACACTAATACTGACACGTTCCTTGATAAGAGAGAGGAGTTTGAAACACTACTAAGAGTACACCAACCAGATATTGTAGGAGTTGTAGAACTGTTGTACAAGAACAGGAGAATCGACCCAGAGGAATGTGAGTTCAGTATTGCTGGATATGACTCATTTACGAACCTTTCTCAAGAAACTTGCAAGAGGGGTGTGGTTATCTATGCTAGGCAAGACCTTAGAGCCAGCCAGGCGAGGGTACAGGGAGAGGATGTTTTTGAAGAGTCCAAGTGGTGTAAAATTAAATTAAAGGGAGGGGACTTACTTATCGTCGGGTGTATCTACAGATCCCCAAACTGTGGCCCACTAAATCAAAGGAACTTAAGAACCTTAATAAACAATGCGGCGATGCTCAACCCCAGCCACCTCCTTATCATGGGGGACTTTAACTATGGCGACATCGACTGGAGAAACGAGTCCACCCCGAATGACTTGAATAATCCTGCTACTCTTTTTGTAGAAACTCTGAGAGATAATTTTCTGTTCCAACATGTTAGAGACCCGACACATTACAGAGGGGAGCAAACACCCAAGCCACTTGACCTCATCATAACAAACGAGGAGGGTATGGTGGCCAAACTGGAACACCTTGCCCCAGTTGGCACCAGTCACCATATAGTGTTGTCATTCAGATTTAACTGTTACCTAGTTCAGGATAAGGCCAGGCCAAGGTGCAAATATTACAAGGGAAGTTACATTGGGATGAGGGAAGAGATGAGAGGTATCAACTGGCCTGACTTATTAAGGTACAAGAACGCAGACACTACGCTGAATATCATAACTAGTAAAGTGACCCATTTGATCGATAAATATATACCCAAGACCAAACCCAGTGCTTCTAGGAATACGAGGGGATTCCTACACATGGACCATGCGGCGGTCGACAAAATTAAGAAGAAAACCCAGATATTCAAGACGTGGGTTGGGTCAAACGATGAGCAAGACAGGAGGATGTATGCAAGAGCCAGAAACCAAGTAAAGATAGAGTGTAGGAGGACTGAAAAGGAGTTCCAGAGGCTGGTTGCAAGCGAGGTCAAGTCAAACCCAAAGGCGTTTTACTGCTATGCAAAGTCGAAATTGAAAACGCGAGTAGGAGTATCAGACCTGAGGCTGGTGGATGGTAGTTACGCAAATTCTGACCAGGATAAAGCTGAGACACTGAACAGCTTCTTTTCCTCGGTGTTCACAAAAGAGGATGCAACTAACCTTCCTGCGTTTGAGGACAGACGGTTCGACACAGCACTGACCCAAATTGTGTTCACAGAAGAGGGTATTAGAAATAAACTGTCAAAGCTAAAGGTCCATAAGAGTCCCGGCCCTGACATGGTGCATCCTAGAGTGCTAAGAGAGTTGTGCAACGAGCTTGCAGAGGCCCTGAAGATCCTGTTTTGTAAATGCCTGGATGAACAAATGGTCCCCAGTGAATGGAAAGTGGTATGTGAGTCCTATCTTCAAGAAGGGCGATCGTCACTCCACGAACATCTATAGACCGGTGAGCCTGACCACCATAATATGTAAAGTACTTGGGAGTATTATCAGAGATGCCGCAATGGAACATCTAATACGAAACAACCTTGTAAAAGATTGCCAACACGGTTTTATGCCGGGGCGCTCCTGCTTAACACAATTGCTCAAGGTATTGGATATTTGGACCCATATTCTGGAACAGGGTGGTAATATCGACAATATTTACCTAGATTTTGCCAAGGCTTTCGACAGTGTACCCCACGAAAGGCTGAAAATCAAACTGGAAGGGTACGGAATTCGGAGAAATGTCCTAGCGTGGATAGAAGACTTTCTACATGACCGCAAGCAGTGTGTGGTGATTAATGGCATGAAATCGTCATCTGTACCTGTTACAAGTGGGGTACCACAGGGCAGTGTATTGGGCCCGCTGGTGCCTGCACTTATGCACCTCAGCTACCCTGAGAGATTGGAGCGCCTGAACTTGCCTCGCTTATACTACAGACGGGCAAGGGGGGACCTAGTTGAGGTGCATAAGCATCTCAGGGGGAACTACTCAGTTGAGTGTCCTTACTTGGAGCTAGCGGACGCTCGCCCCACAAGGGGTCACAGCTCAAGATTGAAGAAGCCGCAAGTCCAGAAAACCGTGAGAGCAAACTTTTTCGGAGTGAGGGTTGTAAACTCTTGGAACAATCTACCAGAGAGTGTTGTGACGGCACCGAGTGTGAGCTCTTTCAAGACAAGACTTGACCAACACTGGAGTGGGTTCAGGTACATTCAGGAGCCGGTGCATGCCCAGTATTTGCCAACAGTGCGTGACAGAGACGTGACCGATCGCCCGGGCGGCTAGCGAGCTGATCTTTTGATGAAGAAGACAAATGAAAAGTAAAAGTACATATATATATATATATATATATATATATATATATATATATATATATATATATATATATATATATATATATATATATATATATATATATATATATATATATATATATATATATATATATATATATATATATATATATATATATATATATACAGTATATATATATATATATATATATATATATATATATATATATATATATATATATATATATACAGTGGTCCTCGGTTAAGAACACAGTTCATTCCAGAGTTGTTAACTGAAAATATATATATATATATATATATATATATATATATATATATATATATATATATATATATATATATATATATATATATATATATATATATATATATATATATATATATATATATATATATATATATATATATATATATATATAGTGGTCCCTCGGTTAACAAGCACAATTCGTTCCAGAAGGATGCTCGCTAACCGAAAAATTCGTTAACCGAAACCATTGTTTCAATGGGTTTTGGGGTAATTAGTTCCAGCTCACCGAAAATTTCATACAAACTAAAAATAAATGCAGTAAAGTACACTTGCTTTGAGGTGTGCATGTAGAAGGCTCCTGGTTGATGATGATGATGATGATGGGAATTAGAATGGGGGTGGAGGAGAAGGGAGAAGAGAAGGCATTGGGGTGGAAGAGAAGTCACCCCATGCCGCCATTTCACCCATAAAATTTTAGTTCACTTGGTGTAATTCAAGATTATTTTCTTTAAATCAACACTGCACTGCGCTATATATTATCAATACAGTATGTAAAATGTGTTTCAAAATGACCAATAATTTGACTGGAAACATAGAAAAAAAGCGTTTATGTTCAGGGACGCCGCTTCCATTAGGCGAGGTTAGCAAATGCTAAGGGCGCCAAAGATGGTAAGGGCACCAACAGATACAGTGTCACCACCACAGCTCCATTCTTCACAGCCAACAGATGCAGTGTCACCACCACAGCTCCATTCTTCACAGCCAACAGATGCAGTGTCACCACCATAGCTCCATTCTTCACAGCCAACAGATACAGTGTCACCACCACAGCTCAATTCTTCACAGCCAACAGATACAGTGTCACCACCACAGCTCGAATGTGCTGCATCCAGGGCTGCACCTGTTGACCCTGTAGTGGACTTCTCCCCTACAACTGCGTAGCTGCAGCCACCAGCTGCTACCATCTTCCCTAGCAACCAACTAGCGGCAAGCGAGCGGCGTCACCAGATGTCACCGTATCCTAGCAACCGAGCCAAAGACCGGTTACTTCTCGGGTTTTCCCAACATGACTCATAGATGACTCACGGCTGCCGGGTATATAAGCTCTGTCTCTCCATTGAGATTCATTCTGGCCATTCTTCTTGAACAAACAACACCTCCTCCTCCGCCGCTGCCTGGCGGCCCTCGCCTCTCCTCCGCCTGCCTGGCGGTCCTCGCTCCCGCCAGCGAGCATGGCGACCCACCAGCTGTCCTTCTCTGAGCTTCCTCACCAACCAGCTCTTTCATTCTGGCCCATCTTCCTGAACACGCAACACCTCCTCCAGCAAGCTCCACGCTGTCCAGCTTTCATTCAACCAGGAGGCCAGCAACAGGCAACATCTTCTCTAACGAAGCTCCTGCATATCTACCTCCTTCAACACGCTACTCACCGAACGTCTCTACTGAGCAGCTCCTCACCACACGGCACCTCCAGCACCAGACTGTCTATCATATAACTTATATTATACAAGAAAACCACCTTAGAGTTTCCATCCATCCTGAGTGCTAGACAACATTATACCACGAAATCCTACAACCCACTGACTGGCCATCCTCAATGTCCAACCAGGAAAAAGCAAAACTTGTTCGCAGAGGACCTTACCAGGTTGATCCTAATTATGTGTTTCCAAAAAAGGATGGGAGAAGATGTCAACATGATTACTTTCGCCAAATCTTAGTAAATGGAGAGAAGATCCAAAGAAGTTGGCTAATTTATTCGGTGAAACAAGATAAACTTTTTTGCTTCTGTTGTAAAACGATTTCTACGAAACATGTTAGAATGGCTGAAGAAGGCATCAATGATTGGGAAAATGCCAGTCATTTGTTCAGCACACATGAAAGTAGCATAGAACACACTAAAAACATGACAACATGGAAGGAACTGGAGGTCAACATTGTAAGAGGAAGGACGATAGACCGACGGGAATTGGAAATATTAATGGCTGAGTGGAACAGGTGGCGCCAAGCCCTCACTAGTCTAGTGGGGATTATTCAGTCTTTAGCTGAAAGAAATTTGGCTCCAAGAGGGTCAACCGAAAAACTTAACTGTCCATCCAATGGTAATTTTCTCCAAATAGTGGAACTTTTGGCTAAATTTGATCCAGTTATGAAGAATCGTTGAAAGTAATGCAGGCAATGCAGGCAATCACAGTCACACTCACTACCTTGGCCAAATGATCCAAAATGAACTGATTAACATTATCAGTGCAAAGATTACTGAGAGAATCGTGGACGATATTAAAGCATCGAAATACTTCTCTATTATTTTAGACTGCACCCCTGATTTGAGTCACAAAGAGCAACTTTCTGTCATAATCAGGATAGTGGCACTTGAAGACAAGCCAACAATAAAGGAGCATTTCTTGGGGTTCCTTGAGGTAGAGAATTCTACAGGGCTAAATTTGTCATGCCTTCTACTCGGAAGACTGAAACAACTGAACATTTCTTTTGAGGATTGTCGAGGTCAATCTTACGACAATGGAGCATATATGAGAGGAAACATCAAAGGAGTTCAAGCCAGGCTTCTTCAACAGAATTCTCGGGCATTATTTGTCCCGTGTGGTGCCCATAATTTGAATTTGATATTAGCTGACGCTGCCAATAGCTCCCTAGATGCAACTTGTTACTTCGGATATTTAACGAAAGAATTCATTGTTTTCAGTCTCCCCTCAGAGGTGGCAAGTTCTTTTAAAACATGTCAACTTTACTCTGAAATCGTGGTCAGACGTCAGATGGGAAAGTCGAATAAAAAGTGCGGAGGCAATTAGATATCAACCCGCGCAAATCAGTGAAGTGCTTTTGGAGCTCAGAGAATCTGCAACTGACCCTGTCATCAAAGTTGAGGCTCAATCGTTGGCAGAGGAAGTAGGGTCATACCGTTTTGTCATTTGCTCAGTTGTGTGGTATGATATACAAGTACTCAGCAAAATTCAGCACGTGAGCAAAGTAATGCAGTCGACTACGATGCAGCTCGGCGTGGCTGTAGATCTGCTTAAGAAGACCAGAGATAATATTGTCAGCTACAGAAATACAGGTTTTGCTGATGCACTAACTATTGCTAAAGAAATTTGTGAGGCGATGAACGTAGACACCGTGCTGAAACAGAAGAGACTAAGAACTAAAAAAATGCCACTTTAGCTGTGAGTGTGCAGACGAACCTGTCAGCGATGCACTCAAAAGGATGGAGACTACATTTTTCAATGTGGTAGTGGACACTGCGATTTCCTCTCTTAATGAGAGGTTCAAGACCTTGGGCGAGGTGAATGAAAAGTTCAAGGTATTGTTAGGGTTCACGGACATGTCTGACAAAGACATCGTCGATCACTGCCAAACCCTCAGCAACACGCTTACTCATGAGGGACACTCAGACATTGTTGGAAGGGAAATGGCTATGGAGCTGCAGAGTGTCCCAGATTTGCCTTCCAAGAGAATGACAACAATGGATTTTCTCACCTTCCTGCATGAAAAGAAACTTACTGAAGTATTCCCGAACTTGTGGGTAGCTCTGCGGATCTGTGCAACTCTCCCTGTAACGGTGTCGGCAGCAGAGCAGAGCTTTTCTAAGTTAAAACTGATAAAAACTTATTTCCGATCCACAATGGCGCGGCAACGTCTTAGTGGGCTGGCCATCATCAGTGTGAACCATGCATTGTCTAGGGAATTATCGTAAGATGATGTAATTGACGAATTCGCTTCCAGGAAGTCAAGAAGAGTCAAGTTATAACTGTTATAAGCAGGCACGTAGCGAAGCGGAGAAAACGGTGGAATCCAGAATGTCATGACATATGTTAATTGAATTGCTTATTGTTTAAATACAATGGTAGTTTGATTTTGAGTGTTTTTTACAGTCACTTTTCATGCCATTATTTTATGTTGCTTGTATTGTGCTTTTCTTTGGATATTCCACAGTTTAAGAGGATTTGCTAATTAATGCATGTATTAGCAAATTAAAATAGATCAGTGTAAAAAAAACAGTTACTTCAATATGGTACTGTAGTGGACGTCTCCCCTACAACTGCCTACAACTGCGTAGCCACAGCCACCACCTGCTACCGCCTTCCCTAGCAACCAACCAGATGTTACCGTAACCTAGCAACGAAACTAGAGACCTGTTACTTCTCGGGTTTTCCCAACATGACTCATAGATGACTCACGGCTGCCGGGTATATAAGCTCTGTCTCTCCATTGAGATTCATTCTGACCATTCTTCTTGAACAAGCAACACCTCCTCCTCCGCCGCTGCCTGGCTGCCCTCGCTTCTCCTCGCCTGCCTGGCGGTCCTCGCTCCTCACCAACCGGCTCTCATTCTGCCCATCTTCCTGAACACGCAACACCTCCTCCAGCAAGCTCCACGCTGTCAGCATTCATTCAACCAGGAGGCCAGCAACAGGCAACATCTTCTCTAACGAAGCTCCTGCACATCTACCTCCTTCAACACGCTACTCACCGAACGTCTCTACTGAGCAGCTCCTCACCACACGGCACGTCCAGCACCAGACTGTCTATCATATAACTTATATTATACAAGAAAACCACATTAGAGTTTCCTTCCATCCTGAGCGCTAGACAACATTATACCACGATACCCCTACAGTACCTTGATTACTTTGTGGGCAAACCCAATCGTGAAGTGGGAGGCAGGTGGGGGCGCCAGCTGCAGTCCTGCTGAGGGCGCCAAATAGGCTGGCGCTGGCCCTGTTTATGTTGAAAAGTCTCAAACAAGATGTTCCTTCCTCGGAACTGGTAAACAAATTGACGCCAAGCTTGGTGTGTTGAGTGGCTGTTTGGCGTGCAAAAAACTAGTTTCCTGTATAGTAAAACCTCGATTAACCGACTTTTGGATTAACCGTCAATCCCGAACTCCTAAAAAAAAAAAAAAAAAAAAAAAAAAAAAATTACAGGGATTAGACCACCCGGGCACAGGTCATTGACCCACATCGGGGCCTGGGAGGCGATAATGTAATAATAATGATAATAATAATAATAATAGTAATAAAGAACCATAAATAAATGCAAAAATGAAAAAAAAAATCAAGAGTGAGAAACAATATATGTATGTTGCGTTGTCAATAGTAAGAGAAGCAATTGAGACCCTGCAATTGTGTGTAAATGAGGCAGAAAGTCAGATCAGCAGCTTGGGACTTGGTCACAATTTTTGTGATGACATATGTTTTTTGACTTTTCCATTTTTTATTCACGGTTTCTGTGCTGGTTCATATTTATTTACTAAAGTGGTTAATGTTTTAGAGCAAATTCCATTGAAATATGAATGGCAAATGAGCAAAAATGAATAGAGGCAATTAAATGAGGTAGGTTAGGGAAATGTACTTTGAAAATGTATGTTTTATTTCCGTAGACTTTATGTAGGCTACTATTAACCGACCTTTCGGATTATCCGTCGGCCCCTTCCCCCCATACGTGGTCGGTTAATCGAGGTTTTACTGTACTTCAATTATGTTCAATAATTGTTAAAATAACTAAGAAATTTAATATTAAACTTTTAAAATTATTGAATAGTAAACCTTCTTGATATTTACTAAAATGGTAAGGAATTTAAGCCCTAAAACCGATTACTGTATTGGCGGACTAATACTACAGCTGGTGGGTAGCCAAATGCAGGCGAAAATATGTTGGGAAAAATTTGGAAGGAAATCGTTAACCGAGAGTTTGCTCGTTAACCGAAGTGAAGAATCTTATGGAAGGTAATTCGTTAACCGAGGCGCTCGTTTACCGAGGGATCACTGTGTATGTATGTATGTATGTATGTATGTATGTATGTATGTATACAGTATATATATATATATATATATATATATATATATATATATATATATATATATATATATATATATATATATATATATATATATATATATATATATATATATACACACACACACACACACAGTGGTCCCTTGGTTAACGAGCACAATTCGTTCCAGAAGGTTGCTCGTTAACCGAAAAACTCGTTAACAGGAAACCAATGTTTCAATGGGTTTTTGGGTAATTGGTTCCAGCTCACCAAAAATTGCCTAAAATCAACAAAAAAGGTAGTAAAGTACACTTACTTTGAGGTGTGTATGTAGAAGGCTCCTGGATGATGATGATGATGGGAATTAGAATGGGGGTGGAGGAGAAGGGAGAAGAGAAGGCATTGGGGTGGAAGAGAAGTCACCCCATGGTGCCATTTCACCCAAAAATTTTAGTTCTCTTGGTGTAATTCAAGATAATTTTCTTTATATCAACACTGCACTGCATTATATATTGTCAATATGTAAAATAAATTTCAAAATGACCAATAATTTGTTTGGAAACACAGAAAAAAAGCATTTAGTTGAAGAGAGTCTCAAGCAAGATGTTACCTCCACTGAAAAGACACAGAGAGTGACACCTGTTTGGTGTGTTGACAGGCTGTTTGGCGCGCATAAAACTAGTTTCCTGTACTTCAATTATGTTCAATAATTGTTAAAATGACTAAAAAATTTAATATTAAACTTTTAAAATTATTGAATAGTATAAACTTCTTGATATTCACTAAAATAGTAAGGAATTTAAGCCCTAGAACCGATTACTGTATTGGTGGACTAATACTACAGCTGGTGGATCGCCAAATACAAGCGAAAGCATGTTGAGGTCCGCTCATAAGAAACTCGTTAATCGAGGGATTGCTCGTTAACCGAAGTTAAGAATCTTATAGAAGATAAATCGTTAACCGAAATCTCATTAACCGAGGCGCTCGTTAACCGAAGGATCACTGTGTGTGTGTGTGTGTACAGTATACTGTATATACCAAGGTGTGACATTGGGAAATGCTCCAAGCATGGTCTCAAAGTTCATCTCGTACTCATAAAGGATATCCCATGTTTTATTTATTTATCATATCACCACTTATCAGCTTACTAGTCATTCACTCTTTTACCAGAAGAGTTAAGGTAAATAAAGCAGGAAACTTCATTTTGCCACACAGACTTTACTCGCCCAACTACAAACATCAGTCTTGTGTCCATGCAGTCTCTTGTTAATAATCATTGAATCTTTATAAAGGATAGATAAATTACATCTATATTATGTCATCATCAGCAAGTAATATCAGTATTCAAAGGATCTAAAATAATTGTAGGTTAAAAATCGCCGATCTAGAAAAATCAATTTATTAGAGAATTGTTGTCACAAAACCATAACCCGATACAAAATAATCTTGATTTAAAAAAGATTAACTTAGCACTATATATTTTTATGTTTGATATGAATATTAAGCAAAATTTAGTCACGTCAAGTTGCTTGTTATATGCAATGATTGACTAAACAATTCGGGAGTAGCACTTGTTTAATAACTTTTTTTTTTTAAATACGGTATTAGTACTGCATTGTGTAAAAATAGAACTTAACGGTATACATTTTTCTAAGAAATTTGGCGAGGTAAGATGAGAATCAGTTGAGTTAGGACCAATTAATCCTTGAAGGACCTTATCTAGTTAAGTGTAACAGCATGCACATTGCATTGTATAATATATATATACAGGCACAGAGTATTGTATATTATACTGTGTACAGTTAAGTGATATTTATTGCATCTTACCCTAACAGAATTGTCCTTTACTATTATAATTTTCCTTTTGTAATACAGTATGTAAATAATGTTACCTGAGAACACAAAAGTGGCAAAAAAGTTTGAGGATGTCTACTTAATTTGATCGAAAATACACTCAAATTAAATGTTACATTCCACATATAGAGAGCAAGCAAGTAACAACTGTTAGACTTAAATGGTAACCATGCCTGCCTTTAATTTAACAAGAAATCAGATTTAAACTCTTTTACCATTTGTATAAGGCACACATCATAAAACAATTCAAAGTCTTCTATAAAAGTTATTACAAGATTTTTCTATATTACATTAATTATGATTGGTTGAAATGTAAAAAAGACTGCCTCTCAAGCAATGATGATGATGGGAAATAGAAGTGGGGATGGAGGAGAAGGGAGAAGAGAACGAAGTGGGGAAGGAGTAGAAATCACCTTTCAGGGGACCCATGCTTGATGTTGTCATTTCACCAATAAAATTTTAAGTTCACTAGGTGTAATTCAAGGTTATTTTATTTTAATCAACACTGCACTGCGCTGTATATTATCAATATGTTAACTAAATTTCAGAATGACCAATAATTTCAATGTAAAAATGCAAAAATATTCAAGACACCAACAAAATAGATGTTTACTCCACTGTCAACAAAGCCCAACTGATTCCTGGTGGTTGAGCCAAGCGTCTGATAGGCGCACAAAAAGCTAGTTCCCTATACTGCATATATTATCAATATGTTAAATAAATGTTAAAATTACTAATAACTTTAATATAAAAAATGCAAAAATATTAAATAGCACAACTTTCTTGATATTTACTCCACTGGAAACAAATGTAAACATAGAACAGATTATTGAATTGGCAGACTAGCCCATCAGCTGATGCTCACAACAAAATGTGATGTTCGTAAGGATTTCGTTAATCAAAGTTTTGTTCATTAACCGAATTGAAGATCCTTATGAGAGGTAATTCGTTAACCGAAATTTCATTAATCGAACCGCTCGTTAACCGAGGGACAACTGTGTGTATGTGTATATATATATATATATATATATATATATATATATATATATATATATTAAAAGTCCAAAAATCCGGATGCCAGAAATCTGGACCACCTGAGAATCCGTACTTTTCAAAAAGTCAAACTGGTTTTTTTTTTTTTTGCGGGCTTTTGTGTGTATGTGCGCATGCGTGAGCGCCACAGCTGCACAGCGACAACAAGCGACCACGTGGTCACCACTTTAAAATGAGCAATCAAACTGTGACAACATATGTAATTTTGAGTCCGACTCTTTCCATTTACAGAGTACTGTACAAGCCCATAATAATGGCTCCTAAAGTAGATAAACTTCGTTGTGTGAAGAGAAAGAAGAACACGTTGAAATTGAGTGACAAACTTGAAATAATTAAGAAACTAGAACGTGGTGTGAGCAATACTGTTCTAATGGAAACATGCGACATTGGAAAGTCTGCAATTTATGATATAAAAAAGGCAAAGAATAAAATTCTAGAATTCACAGCTTTTTCTTTAAAACTGCTCGTTTTGATAAGTGAAGCATGCTATATTTGCTAATGAATAAACTATCAAAATGTACCTGTTAATCTCTTCTTTATTCCTCCTTAAATTTGATTTTTAAAAGTACTGCCTGAGAATCCGGAAAATCTGAAAATCCGGACTGACCCAATCCCCAAGCAGTCCGGATTTTTGGACTTCTACTGTATGTATGTATGTATATATATATATATATATATATATATATATATATATATATATATATATATATATATATATATATATATATATATATATATATATATATATATATATATATATATATATATATATATATATATATATATATATATATATATATATATATATTGGCAATTGCAAAAAGGTGCAAAATTTTTACTATTATTAAATTGAAATACTGTACTGTACTATGAATAGAGTTATTGTAAATGAGGAGATACAGTCCATACCTGCATGCATTTTTCTTTACTAGAAGTAATTTCAGCATATTTATAAATTATACACTAGTCTGTTTAATCTGAAAAAGAACAAGACCATCTGGTGTGATCTTTTACATACTAATATGTACTATATATGTACTCCTATATTAGCCAAGGGAAGAACAATTCTAGAAAGCGGTATGTTATTAACTGGGCCAAGGAAGGTCTTACACCAGGAGTGCCTGTGATTTAATTTTACAGTTCAATAGGTTACTACTTCAGTATTTAAATACAGTATATTCCCTTAAAGCTCGCAGTTTTAGAGCTTGCATCCCTCGGAAACTCATGCATTGCCATGGAAAATAAATAAAATAAATCAGAGGCAGTGTGCCAGAGATCAAGAGGAGTCAACACTTCAGTACAAAGCACCATATTTCCCAGGTCATAAGACGCACCCTATAATTAGCAAGGTGTATTTGAGAAAATGATTTTTTTGCAGATTTAATAGCCTACTGTACTGGCAAGTCCAAGTCGCTGGCTATATGCTATCATGTTTCTCACTACCACAGCTCACTATCACTTTATGGACCTATGATCAAACATTTGTTGGTATTATTGATAAAATTTACCTAATTTAATACAAAAGGACATCATACACATGTTGGTACCTATGGTATACACATTACAAATATTTATCAGAACCTGGCATGTTCACTAGGAACTGCCCAGTACAGGGATTTACATCCTGTGCACCAGATCACCTGACATTTCAGAGGTATTGTCACTACCACAACTAACTATCACTGTGTGGATCTAATGTCCATACAGTGCTATTTCATGTTGTTTATTTATTTATATTATTTCATATTTTTTGTATTGTCTTATGTATACATAATGTTGTTATACATGTGCATATAACTATTTACTGTATATACGGTATGTATTTTGCACACTCATGGAACTGGCATGAAAAGCTCGCAGATTTGCTTTCTCAAGGGGTCTATTTTACCTAACCCCACCGAGCTTTAAGGGTACACTGTATTCTGAATACTCTGTATTCAATAAACTTATGAGTGTTTTCTAGCACACCAGCTGCATCTTGAACACTAAGTTGAAACACAGTGACCACAGTTTGAAAATTGCACATCAACTGTTTTGGCTGTAGAGAAGTGTTTTTTGACACAACAACAACAGTTTCCTAAGGTTCATACAATATGATTATGATTATAGACATCCTTGTCATGGACAACTATACATCGAAAGTTCCAAATAAACCCATAAAGAAAAACTTGTGTGCATGGAATTTCACATAATCTCATCTGTGCTAGAATGAATTTCTTAAAAAGGCAATGTAGATTCTGAAGTGTAGAGTGAAGGAAGAAATCAAAGGGAAACGTAAATATTATGCAAGTGGTTGTCAGTCGGATATAATATAACATGGTGATGTATTTTGGACAAATGAACAAAATTATTACAAATTTTACATTTAAAATGGTTGAATATTAAGTTACTTGAAAAGATGAAAGATAAGGTATAGAGTAGTAAGAGCTAGGAGTATGTGTACAAAAAGTGTTAGTATGCAGCATTGCACAGTAACATGCTATCATAGTATTCTTTAAAAGTATTGTGCCAGCCACCTTCCTCTACTGTTAAGAAAACCATACCACAAGAAATCTATAATTCACCAGAAGGATAAAATTATATACAATACTTTGTCTATAAACTTTATTGCATTATCTATGAAAAGTCTGTTTAACTAGCTATATTACCAAATATTTTGTTTACACAATCCCATACTCTCATCAGTTCCTTAAGAATACCTTATTTAGAAATGGTGCTGAAATGGTGATAACATAAACCATTTCTTCACACAGGTCAACTTTTCTGCAAAATGAGAATGGGATTTTTACTTAGCATTCCCCCCCCCCCCCAAAAGGCATTTTTAGTTATATCTTAATTAGTCCAGTCAATTTACCATCAAAACTTTGCTATTTGTGACAACAACCATGCTGGAGAAAATTCCAAAAATAAATTTAATTATCAAAATCTTTTTCAAATGCAACTGTAATACTTATGTCACTAACAATAATATTATGTGCTCCTGTTTATAAAAAAAAAGGGAAATTGCAATTTATAAATCCCATACTTTTCACCTTTACTCTTTTCCCATTTCTGAATAATACAATCCCATAAACTTTTGAGAAAAAAGGAAGACCTAGATGAAATGTCTGCAGCCATTATGGGAGGCAGTGAATCAGCAGGAGTTTCAACCACCCCATTATACCTGAGCCTTGAATTATAAGCCATACCTACTATACCCAAAAAGATTCCTTCTGGTAAGACTACAAAGAACAAGGGGAAAACTATATGGTAACTAGTAGGATGGCTCACACTGACACATGGGCAAGGCCATAAACAATAGGTCCAACAAAAAAATACAATGAAAATTGGGCTTGGTTAATCATCATAAACAGATTAACCCTTATACAAAGTCCTTTCCTCAAAGTCCAAATCAGGAGTAAAGATGATAGAGATGGCATTACAAAATCCATCCTATATCACAGCGACTTCATGAAATAAAACATTTGCCTTCCGGACTTGAGTTTCCATCAGCCTTCTCAATCTCGAGGATGACTCTTGTGAAGATGTCACTTACAGCCTGAAAAATACAAAGTATGGGTTTTTTACCCCTATTTTTTTTCTAAATCCATAAATTAAAAGAAACAATATGCTGGACAGTTAAAATAAATGGGGTCTGAGAAAAATATAAAAAGAATGTCCTATAAATTATTGGGAGCATCCTGTACAGTACTCAGCCTAGCCAGTGTAGTCTAAACCCTTGATAGGACTGAGTAGTTTCACACTGATGGTAAAAAATATAACATTACCATTTTCTGCTGTTAGTTATAGTTTATCACAAATATACTGACCTCATGCTGCTTGGCACTGGTTTCAAGAAACACAGCTTTCCAAGTGTCTGCAACCTTGCGTGCTTGATCAGTGCTCACAACACGTTCCATGTGTAGATCATTCTTGTTTCCCACTAAAACTACAGGAACGCTGCAGAAAATTTTCATACATAAATAGAGTAAAACTCATCAAAAAAAGCAATTAGAAATAAATAAGACTAAATCAGGACACCTGTGAGAATGAGAGCAATTTTTAAGTTGATTAGCTCATTTCAGTCCCTCAGGCTATCAGGGCTTGTTTAATTTCGACTGTGTCAGCAATGCAAAGTAATTTTGTATGTGAATTGGTAATTAGCAAGAGTGACACCCAAACCATGATCCAGCTGCACTCTGTAAACCCCCTGTTGCTTGAATGTTCACAAAGGTGAATCCCTTACCTTATCATGTGAATTGAACCCTCCTACCATAAAATTAAAACTCAAAGAATGAGGGAGGGAGGAAGGAAGGAAAAAAAAAAAACGCACGCACGCACACTTAATTTTGCTTTATTCTATAGCAACATGCCATCTCCATGGAGATGTAGTGTAAAACTTATATACTAATTAAATTATATTAAGCTATTTTATATGTATTTGACTAAAATTAAATTACAATACAAGTATTGTTTGGCAAGGGAACAGGCAACTTAGACTTTGACGAGTATTATCTGCAGGGTTTTTCAGGACCCTACCCTCCGTGGTTGACGAAGGTCTACTCTGCGTGCATGCGTGCGTGTGTGTGTGTGTGTGAGAACTTGAAGGTTATCCACCTCCCCTGGATCAAGCATATCCCTTAAAACTAGTCTGAGAAGTCCCAGTTACCGGAACCACCAAAGGGCATAAAAAATACAGCAAGTCACACAATCATTGTGGAACTAGTTTCTCATTAACTGGCCCAGTCATAAAGCAGGCTTGCAGTGCCAACCTCACTTCCAACCAACTTTCACGGAACTACCAAGGAGGCACGTTAGATCGGAGTCATTTCTCACTGGCTCCATTATAAATGAGGTTTCCAAGATCAAGCCATCATTATTAACCTGAATTAAGCTTCTTATGACTTGTGTATCAGAAGCAAACTATCAAAAATGAGGAAGTGAAAATAAAAACCAAGGGCTGTGCTGCTTGCACCTTCACAAGGATGTTACTCAGGAATTGGCTTTACAAACTCCAATGTGCCATGCAGCTCTCTAATGTCGTTTGTGCTTAAAATCACTACAGTATCTATTTGGCAACTCAAGTATAAAATTTCTTATAAAGGGACACCTCAAGGTGGCCCCCAACAAGGCGAGGCTTGCAAGGTGTGTCCAGAGGGAGATGAACAGGATACAATGCTTGTGATTATAAGACAACTGACAAGATAGAGATCTCACCCTTGTTAACCACTGATTCACCTGTCAAGCTGTTGGTTATGAAAACTTTCACTGGAATATTCCATGGGTAACTTCAATCCTAATTTTAGCCACGATATGAGATTTTCAAGCTTCATTTTTTTAAAGCAAAATAAAGTTGACTCAAGAAATAAAGGAGAAAATAATCAAAGTAAAAGCAGACCATCTTGTGAAAACAATCATCCCATTTATCCATATTTAAACAGTGTAAGGTAGATCTGAATATAGCATAACCGTAATGATTATTTCTTATAATAAAATATATGAATGACTACAATAAGAAAATTAATAAGGCTGTATACCCACAGCTTAGGCCACTTAATCCACCAGATATACTAGACCAGAGGATCATAAAAGATTAAAGAAAATGATCAAACTGTCAACTTTAAGATTCAGCAGTAACAAAACAACAGGGGTTGCATAATGGTAGCCAACTACTGTACTCTAATTTCGAGGCTTTCCACTTGCAATAATTTTTCTCAACACAGAGAACAATAAAGTAATAAGTTTTAAGTCAATTCTAATGATAAACCAGACCTGGGTAGTCATGACCCCACTTACCCTATCTGGAAAAAATATATATAATCTGTATTATTTCAATAAAATCTTATTCTGAGAACAAAAACAAGAACTTTCAGGACTCACGTAACTTTCCCCATCATATCAAGAATTTTATCATATATGACTTGAGCCACTTCAAATGATTTCTCTGATGTAATGGAGTAGACCAAAACATAACCGTGGATATCCATGGAGTACTGTGCAGGAAAGATGCTGTATTCATCTTGTCCAGCTGTATCTACAAGTTCCAGGCCATATTCTTGTCCTCTCACCTGCACAAATAGGAAATATTAGTGCACAAATTACAAAATCTTATTTAAATTTTACTGTACAGTGATCCCTCGGTTAACGAACGCCTCGATTAACGAAATTTCGGTTAACGAATTACCTTCCATAAGATTCTTCACTTCGGTTAAAGAAAAAATTTTGGTTAACGAATTCCTTACGAATTTTTCCCAACATGTTTTCACTTGCATTTGACTGTTCACCAGCTGTAGTATTAGTCCGCCAATACAGTAATCGGTTCTAGGGCTTAAATTCCTTACCATTTTAGTAAATATCAAGAAGGTTGTACTATTCAATAATTTTAAAGGTTTTATATTAAATTTTTTAGTCATTTTAACAATTATTGAACATAATTGAAGTACAGGTTGTACCTCTCTAGTCTGGCAACCTCGGGACCTGACCGGTGCCGGACCATGGAAATTGCCGGACCATGGAAATTCACCCTTTTCCTGGATAGATAGTGACTTGTGCTTATGCTTGGAAGCACTAGCACCACTTTCTCTGCATCATGGTCTCTTTGAAGGCATATTGAAGGGTTAAATGTCGTATAGTAGCTTCTCAAATTTTGCGAGTTTTTAATTCAACGTATTTTATTGGAACACAAAAAAAATAAATAAAAATTTTGACGGCAGAAATTTGAATTTCGACGGGTTTGAATGGCTCGCCAACGTGCAGACGACGTGCATAATCGTGTAAACAGCGTCATTTCTCTTATGTGCAAAAGATTCATTATTGTTTATAACTGAATGTCTTTTTTATTGAATTAATGTTTATGTGTGCAAAATGAGCAATACAATTCATTAATAATACGTAGAATATTAAAACACACGAGGAAATGACACAGCATTGTTTTCATTGATTACAAAACCAATGACTGACTGGTTCTACATATAAAACTGAAGAAAATAAGACCTTGGCTGTAGCTGTAGTAAAATTAATATGGTTGTTTTAAGTAATGTTATTTAATGTTAATAAATGGAACAATAGAAGTAGCTAACGATAATGGTAAAGAAAAAAGAGAGATCGCGTATGTAAGTGCGCACACGTAAAAACATATCGTCATTACTTTACATAAGAATATGAAAGCAACACTTATTTACTGTTCATATAAATTTTAATTAATGTTTCTGAATTTGTTTTTATTGAATTTATGTTTGTGTGTGCAAAATTAACAATACAATTTATTAATAATGAGGAGACGAGACGGCTGCCGGCATTGTTTATGTTAAAGCTTACAAAACCAGTGACTGATTGGTTCTACATATAAAACTGAAGAAAATAAGACCCTGATTGTAGCTGTAGTAAAATTAATGTAAAAAAAATTAATATGGTTGTTTGAAGTACCTGTAATGTTATTTAATGTTAATAAATGGAACAATATAAGTAGCTAACCATTAATGGTAAAAAAAAAGTGAGACTGCGCGTATGTAAGTGCGCACATGTGAAAACATATCGTCATTACTCTACATAAGAATATGAAAGCAACACTTATTTACTGCTCATATATATTGAAGGGTTAAATGTTGTACTCTGTATAGACAAGCAGAGAGAGAGAGAGAGCAGCCGAACTGCCGGATGTAAACAAACCTTAATTACCCGCGGGTTTTTTTTTTAAGGGGATTAGCCCACCCGGGAATAGGTCACTGACCCACATTAGGGCCTGAGGGGCAAAAATTTAATACTCCTGTAATAATAATAATAATAATTCAATAAGTAAAAAAAAAAAAAAAAAGCTGCCTATCTACCTATTGGACAAACTAAAATCGTTCCGGACCATGGGAGTTTCCGGACCACAGAATGCCGGACTAGAGAGGTACAACCTGTATTAATGTTCTCATATTTTTTTATTTTGGTGTATTTTTATAAAAAAATTTATTTACTATGAATAATTATTATTATTATAATTATTATTATTATAATTATTATTACTATTACATTTTCGTCCCCCAGGCCCTGATGTGGGTCAGTGATCTACGCCCGGGTGGGCTAATCCCTGTTAAAAAAACAAACAAAATGCCCCACAAAAAAAAACTTTTGGTTTTCAGAGCTTTAAGGAATTTTGGATAAAGGGTTGTCAACCTATATATATATATATATATATATATATATATATATATATATATATATATATATATATATATATATATATATATATATATATATATATATATATATATATATATATATATATATATATATATTAGGTTTTATATCTATAAGTGTAAGTAATAAGAGTGCAGAGGTCTTATTGCAACGATATCTTGTGCTAGTCAGGCCGCAACTCGATTATGCGATTCAGTTCTGGTGCCCTTATTATAGAATGGATATCAATTCACTAGAGTCGGTGCAGCGAAGAATGACGAAAATGATTCCGGGACTTAGAAACCTTCCATTTCAGGATAGGTTAAAGAAACTAAACTTGCATTCCCTAGAAAGACGAAGAGTGCAGGGAGATATGATAGAAGTATTTAAGTGGGTGAAAGGAATCAATAAAGAGGATATAGATAAAGTTTTTATAATATCCAAGCAGGATAGGACTCGGAGCAACGGATTTAAGTTGGATAAGTTTAGGTTTACGAGGGAGATAGGAAGGAACTGGTTCACAAATAGGGTGGTAGACGAGTGGAACAAGCTTAGCAACTTTGTAGTAAGTGCTGGAACGCTGGAAAGTTTCAAAAGGAGGCTGGATAGATTCATGGATGATAGAGAGTGGTAGTAACTTTCGACAGGAGCTGCCATGCACAGGCCAACCGGCCTATTGTAGACTCCTTATTTTCTTATGTAGCAAAAAGTGGTAAGAGGAAAGCTTGGAGTTTATTGGAAGTCCAACCGTAAGGCATGGGTTACAAGACAGCTCTTTAATGAATGGGTTGTTGAGGTGTTTTGCCCGTCTGTCAAGAGCTACCTAACCACCAATAAACTCCCTTTAAAAGCTCTTCTCCTAATGGATAATGCCCCTGGTCACGACCCTGAACTTGCCAGCACTTTGGAGTCTCAATTTGACTTTGTCAAAGTGTTGTTTTTGCCTCCCAACACTACATCAATCATGCAGCCAATGGACCAGAATGTGATCAGCAACTTCAAGAAGTTGTACATGAAGAAAATGTTCAGGAGGTGTTTTCAGGCAACTTCCACTGATCCTGAACTAACACTGGCACAGTTCTGGAAGACATAATTTAACATCCTGGAGGCTGTAAAATTGATTGTGTCATCATGGCAAGAAGTCTCCATTAGATCCCTCAATTCTGCATGGAAAGCAATGTGGCCATCAGTAGTCCATGATTTTGAGGGATTTGAAGAAGAAGCAGAGTTGGACAAGGAGATTGTATCCATTGGTCAGTCATTGGGCCTCGAAGTGGAGGAGGTTGATGTGGAAGAGCTTGTGATGTCTCATGAGCAGGAACTTATTCCTGATGATTTGCAGCAACTGGATGAGATGTTGGAGGCTGACAGTGGTGAGGAGGAAAGGGAAAGTGATGACCATACTATGTCTAATTCAGATTTGAAAGATGTTGTTCACCACTGGGAGATGTTCAGGAAACTGGCTTCAAGGCACCCAGATGTAGAAACAACAGAACCTATTTTGTGCAATGTTGAGGACAGAGTGGTCTCCTTCTTCAAACATCAGTTAATGATGAGGAGGAGAAATGCCCCACAACCCAAAATAGAGTTTCTTTACTAAAAGGCATTGGGAAAACGATGCTACCCCTCAGCCTTCCACTTCACGAAGGAGAGAGGATGTTCCTGCTGGAGAATCTGTCAGTCCAGAGGTGCCTGACATTTTTATGGAAGGTGACACACCTTCCAAGAAGCAGTAATATGCTTCTCCTCCACCCCCACTTCCTTCTCCTCCTCCACTTCCCACTTCAAATTCACATCAGCATTTGTATTTCACACACTTCAAAGTGGCGGCGGTGGGTGGGCGGGTGCAGAATTAATTTCACTCACCTAGAACTTAGCCAAGGCGGCATTCTGCTCGCCAGTAGATTAATCCAGCCCCTGAAGAACCATATACTTAACACTTCGAAAATATAATATAAAATTAAATTTAAAAGTAAAGGCATCTAAACCCTGAAATACACATTGTAATAAAAAACAATAATAAATTAGTAAAAAAAAAAAAATTAAATAATGTTGCTAGAGCCGTCATATAGCACTTCAATTTATAGTAAAACTGTTTAGTTGTAGAATGTTCATAGGTGAATGTTAGAAGGCACCCGTACCTACTGCAATTTTTTTATGCATTTAGGTACTTCACACAATCAAAAAACCCACAATGGTTTCAGTTTACAAAATTTTCGGTTAACGAACAACCTTCTGGAACGAATTGTGTTTGTTAACCGAGGGACCACTGTACTAATGTACTAAAGTTTTTATCTCTTTTGCAAAATATATGCCGTTTATATTCAAATTATTCACTGTCTTGCAAGGATTCCAGCAATGCAAATTATATTCTCCTAACTTTAGTCTGTGATATTATAAAAGATAAAAACTGTAAGCCTAAAACCACCAAACCCAGGAGGGAGGAAGGAAGGAAGGGCAAGTGACAGTGACATGTTTGACAGTTGGCGCCGAAGGTCTAATGAAGTATTTATTTGTTTATTTATGTCCTTTCGATTGAGTTTGTTTTTTACTCATAAAATGTCACAGAAGTGACCGGGGAAAATATAGTTTACATTGCTGGAAATTCTTATAAGATAGTGATTAATTTGAATATAAACGGCATATATTTTGCATGAGATAAAATTTTTAGTACATAGTACATTTTAATAATGTAAAAATTTTTCAACTATCTTTTGATAGATTTACATACATTTCTGGGTGTCTCTTTATCTTCTCGGCACCACGAGAACTCTCACTTTTACGCTTGCCAGCCATTTTAAAGGGAATTACGAAGGAAAATTTGGTCAGTACACAGAGCAATCACTAACGGTGGGACTCGAAAATACGTAATTTTATTTAATTTTTTGTACGACTGGGGCGGTTG